ATTGCTTAAAATGTAAAGTCTTGAGAACGACTATTATTTTTAAAAATATCTCATACAATTATTCTCTCTGCATCAGATCACATGAAAATTAGTCAAAATTTTGGGTGTTCGAAGTAATGGTTTCAATTTTGAGTAGTGGAATTCAGTCAGGAATCATTTTGAATATGAAACAATTGCGAAATTGAAAGAGGTGTATTTAAGACTGCGTAAATTTGAACCAAATCAGCAAGAGTAAATAACTTTGTCCCAATTACTTCTCACAACTCGTACGTCCGTACCAGTCGGTGCAATCGTGATACACGGACGTCAGACACGGAGAGAAAGGATTTTCTATTGCAATGCCGAGTACCTCTTTCAAAAGAGATTAATTCACGTCGGACATTCATCTTGAATAGGTGATATAGGGATGTCACACGATATAATGAAAATAATATATAATCATGATGATAATAATGTTTTTAACCATATTGATTACATATGATTAGGTACTTAAAGAGACACTTCACAGTAGTCTAGGTTGTTCTAGGACCATTTTTTGAACATTAAAATGAGCATAGTCAAGCTATTCTCAAGAGATAAACATTTGCATATGCACTAAGAATTTTTTTGTAGACCTATAAAAGAATAACAATGTGTTTGAATTGTTTTGTTACATTTCAAAGACTTTAGGCAGCGTTGTCGATGAAAGGTTGCAGAGGAGTTTTTAAGATGAGCGCGAACAAAAATACAATAGAGTTACACAATTATTATATGATTGATTATGTTTAATTGATTTCATTTTTTGAAATAATAAGATCGAAGACGATTTAAAGAAATTTTCACTCAATTTGGATAAATTTATTAGGCGCTAAAAGCGAACGGTTGTACCTATTGTTATAGTAGCAATCTTAAGTCTTAGATTGTACATATAAATATATCCGCGAACGATGATATTATATGCACTCCTGAATACTAAAGAAGTTAGATTAGTCGAAATGCAACGGAAAAATCAGAAATATGGCTAGAAGTTTTGATACCTAATCATTTTCTCATATTGAGAATTGATAACTGAATCCTTGCAGAATCCACTTTCAATACATGCGTGCCATATTTTGATGGGTATAATTTTATCAGTTTGCAAGAAGTAAGTTTGTAATTTCATCTTCAATAGTTAATTAAAATGAAAGAGGAACTAATAGCAGAAATTATAAAATGAAATAAGATCTTTGAGTTTTTTAGTTTTTACTAATAAAAATTCATGACAAATAGCAAAATAAAAAATTTCTCAACTTGAGAAAAACAAAAATTCTAATTATGCAATGATCAATTTCCCCAATGTTTCTGTGTGATGGTCTCGAAACAACCGGGCCATAGAATAGATTCTGTGACCGGGCTAGCAACTTGTACACATTCCTGCGGAGCAGTTCGTCCGCAGGTCGAGCAGGCCGACGCCGTGGCGAAATTTCAGATTGAATTTTCAGTTCGTGCAGCGAGGTCGATCGCGTAGATTGTGGTTGGAAGGCGCGAGCAGGTTTCTCGTGGTGTTGGTTAAAAGGAATGTTTTGTTGCTCTCCGGCACCGCTCGAATACCTCGCTAGGAATTTTTCTCTAAAGGTCAACTATGTCGACGCTGTAGCGAGTTCAACGGGTGTTTGTCTGCGCTTACGGTAGTGACTCGGATTCCCTTGTGAATAATTCCTCTTTGTCTCTTTGGTCTGCATGGAGCTTGGATAGTGACGGGCATTTCTTGAGGAAGGTAAAATTCTTCGTTCCTTGTCATATTCCATTTTCTTTAGGGTGTGAGTATATTATTGATCTTGAGAAATGTAAAAAGAAATCCCAATTTTGATTTGTTCATTACCTAGAACATTATTTAAAAATGAATTGTGAAAACTTGTTAACAAGAACCTTGAAAATGCCAAAAATTAATTGTAATCAAATTGAACCTTGATTGTTCATAAATATTTAACTTGAATTGTTCAATATTTGTTTTTTTGTAGCAAGTACGCATGATGGGGTATTGAAGCATTCGAGGATTAAATGAAAATTAGTTCTCAATATCTCTGTGATAATGAATAATTCATTTAGAATGAAATTACCAGACAAAAATCTGGGCAAATCCACCACGCAATTATACTTATTGAATCACTATTAGTGAAAACATACCGACATAAATATTCAAAATTAGATGAAATAGAGGTATGTATTTTCAAGTCACATTTTTACTGATGTCTAGTTATTATTTGTATCGAAGTGAAATACCTACACACCATATTTATAATTGATAGAAGATAACCTTCGAAATGTACAGTTACATGCAAAACTCATAATGAGCTCACTTTCCTTTGTAATAATATGGAAAACGAAATTTTGTAATATTTTAGAAAATTTTCAAAGAGGGAGGTTAACAATATGATTTCTTATCTCCCCTCTAAGTAAAATGAATCACTAAGTATGATAATCAAAATGAAATTTTAATAGTCAATGCAAAATTCTTCATATTATTCACTGTTAATTATCAACTCGAGATTCAAAAGGGTTGTTGAACATTTATGCCTACATTTTTTCTTTCGTCATAGTTTCATATCAGATTTTCGATGAAGAAGGTTTCCATTTTTACCTGAAAGCCGTACTTTTGAAAATATAATATCTGAAATTTTCGCTTTCAAGAAATCCCTAAACTATATCCATCCAACAAACAAAGTAACCCAAACAAAGATAGATGCGTGATTAAAGCATGATCACCACGAACATTTGCATCTTTTGAGTAAAATGAACAAGCCTCCTTACGCTGTCTGGGGGATCATGTAGCTACACTATGTATGATAATGTTTTGGAGCACTCTGTTGCTTAGATGGACAGAATGTAGAACAGTCCAGAATATTTGAGTTTATCGCGTTCAAATAAATAGACAGACACGGCAGGAGACGTTAAATTATAATATGTATTGAAATTACTATCATCATAAGTTGCATCTGCTTGAAAGAACAAATGAAATGGAAAAATGCATGATCTTATATACGTTTATCTCTTCATGTGGGTCGTGCACTTTGAATTCCGGAACAGTGTTATATTAGATAATTGCTCTTCAGCTGTCAGACAAGAACGATTACATTTATTAAATTTGCCCTTGTTGTCCAATAAACTAAACTCGCTTTATCGCGTTTATATCAATTTAGATTCAATTTATCGACTTGACTGAGTTGTAGTGATTCTTTTTACGAGTAAAATATTTGATTAGACACAATGAAGGTGGGCAGAGATATAACAAAGTGAAATTTTCCAATCAGTATACTAGTCACCTCCTCAGAAACGTGACTGTTTTCGTAAAATATTTTGCTCGCTGTTATCTCATAAGTTTCATCATACTCAAACGATATTAACATATTCATTTGAACATTCTACCTATATTTTCGTTGACAATAATGAATGATATAAAAAATTCTAACACTGCATTCTTTCGTACCTTTTTAGTAAACTCTGGTACATAATATAGCATTTACGTTTGTAAAAACCAGACAAACCCTCCTGCCTAATAACTTGTTATCCTTCATATATTTGGATATGAATCATCCGTCCGGCCTTAACGTCTAAATCTAAACGGGCTAAATTGAATTAGTCTAGTATCGAGATACGGCCATCCACAAGACTCTTGCTCATTCCCCATCAGGTTGAAAAGATGCCGAAATATTCAACGAAAGTCATTTTTTGTGGAGGAAAAATCAGTTTTTCATCGACCTTTTTTGGGTATTTGTTACCTTCCACAATCTGAAAAATATAAAAATTATAATGGAGAACTATATACAAGTGTAGAAGGGTAAACTAAAAAGTATTTTTCACAAAGAAAAATACTTTGATTTTTACGCAGTAACTTATCGGGGTAAACTAAAAAGTTTGCCCTTCTACACTTGTATAAAGTTCTCCATAATAATTTTTATATTTTTCAGATTGTGGAAGGTAACAAATACCCAAAAAAGGTCAATAAATGCCGAAATAATTCTTAGTGTTTTTTGGGTACATAACCTTCCATAATCTAAAAAATAAACAAATATAATTCAATAGAAAATCTGCTGAAGTGTGATAGAGGGCACACTAAAGTTCACTCCGAAAAGTTACTACGTAATTAGGAAAATCAATAAAAATATTAAAATTTCTATACTTAGCATTCTTCACTAGTCGATGTTTCGGAAAACAATCTTTTCCCAAAATTCACTTCAAAGCTCGTCTCAATTGTAAATAGCTTTATTTATTTTGACATACGTCAAAAAATGTGTAAATAGTTGTATTTCTTTCGACATACGTTTTCCGAACCGTCGAGCACTGAAAAAAGCAAGTATAAACATTTCATTATCTTCTATTTATTTCAATTTGTAGGCAAACTTTATGAATACGGCAAGATACTCACTAATTGGAGTCTTCAGTGGTTTATATTACGCAGTAACTTTTCAGTTTGCCTTCATTATATTTTAGCGGATTCTCTATTAATTTATATTTGTTTATTCTTCAGATTGTGAAAGATTGTATACCCAAAAACACAGTTAAAAATATTGAGTCATCCACAAAAAAAATGTCTTTCAAAGAACATGTCGATTTTGATTTTTACTCAAATTTCCGTTATTTGTTTAAAATGTTTTTTCCGTTAACCAGCTATCGCACCCCTACGAACGACAACCCTCAGAAGTCGAAACTTGTGCGAGCTAAGGATTAACGAGGTCTTACCTTTTAACGTGTGATTCATAACACGGGTAATGGTAAAATGGTAAATGTTTTTCCAATTGAACAGAAACATTATCATTTACCATATTCGAAGAATATTACAAAGAACTAGACAATGTTCGTAACAGCCTCACCTATCACCTATTAGCAATAAATTTTTAGAAACGTGACTAAATCAAGTTCTTATAAACGTGAATGAGAGGCACGGCCAGAACAAAACAGACAAAGGCATGAAATCACACATTTGACTCAGTTCGAGTATTTGACGAAGAAATATGTTACTCATTTTGACAAACGGATATACTTCAAAAGTTTTTTCTGATTAATTATTTCAACGAAAAAAACTAATTCATACAGTTCATTGTATGACTATACAACACTATACAGTGTTTTACAAAAACCGCGACCACTGCATATCGACTAATTCCTTTCCATCCATCTGGAAGCAAGCAAATGTTCTTCCGTTGGCCAAAAATTCTAGCCCAGAAAGTTTAGGCGATCTCCGGCCAATTAGCATCTTATGTGCCCTATCAAAAGTTTTTGAAAAAATATTGAACTTTCAGATGCGTGATAATCTGAACGACTTGGATATATTACCCGAGTGTCAATCAGGGTTCAGACCTGACACAGTTGTACGACTGCCATCTTGAAAGTTGTGGAGGATGTGCACAGATCTATTGATAACAACAAACTCTGTCTTCTGATTTAATTGGACTATTTCAAGGCGTTCGATCGCATACACCATGAACAACTTTTCTGTACCATTTTGGGCTAAGGCTAAGGTTTTCAATGCATGCACTACTAAAAAGTTTTCTTTGCAATCGTTTTCAAAGAGTTGTGTACAATAACAAAAAATCTGATTTAATACAAATTAAAAACGGTGTTTCTCAAGGTTCAATATTGGGTCCTCTTTTGTTCGTTTTATACACATCTCAATTTCATGGGTCCCTGCAATTTGCAACTATGCATTGTTATGCCGACGATACTCAGCTGTACATAAAATTCGACGAGAATTCAATTAACGAGGTCCAATGACAAATTAATACCGATCTTGAGATTCAGGACCCATTTAACAATATCACAACATGAAATTTCTCTATTTCGCTAATCTTTCACTTACCATATTTCCTACTCATATAATCGGATACTTGGTGAATATATAAAAATTTACCAAGAGGAAACTTCAAACGAAAGATGAAGAAATATCCTCTTACAATAAATAGATCCAACTAATTGAATTATGTCGAAATCAATCAACCTTTCTTCATGCTCAAAAAAATATATATGTTTTGTATTTCAATTTCGCTGTATATACTATTTGCATTGTTCTTGATAAATTACTGTTTTCTTTTCTTTCGTTCTTACGGTCAGATGGAAGATATTGAAACCTGCCTTTTGATTGGTTGTAATTGTATCGAAATATCAATACAAACCATTATTATTATTATTAATTAAACAAAGTTTTCATAATGACAGTAAAGAGCACTGCTGTTTTACAAAAATTATAAGTTTCTAGAATACCTATATGTCATTCAATTTCTGTTCAATAATGCTAACATCCTATTGTAATGGATACGACTAATATTGTTTTGTAAAGATCTTATCCAAGGTCGACATTCTCAAAATCTCGCGCGAGGTATAATTCACAATTCATTATTGTTATTGAGTTGTTTGTTCACTAATCACGAATTCATTATGATCTTGATAATTGTTTTTATTTCATATTTTTCAATTTGTTTGAAAATGCGTAATTGTTTACAATTTGCGATCCGACCCGGCATCGTATCGGTTGCAGAATTTATATCCTTCATTTTTTGCTGTCACATCAGCTTGTCCCTGAAGAAAGGAGATGAAGGAAGTTTTCTTCGCCTCCTGAAGCCTACTTGGTTGGTGAAACGCGCGTCGAGAAAATTATTGCATTTCTGGTGACTGAGAAAAGTGCTTGTTGTGGATATTGTGGTTACGAATCATTAACATGGAGGACCGTCCAATATGGCGGATTAATTTTTCATGCACCCCCTATCAAATGATATGGTTTGCTAAATACAAGAATACAAAAAACGTCCGGTCATCACTTTAAGTGGTTGAGCATCCAAAATGACGGAATAGTTTTTTTTGCACCATCATGGTGAAGGAGCATGAAAAGGTTTGCTGAAAAAATGACTCTGCTCTAAAATCAATATGTTATAGCTCGTCGAAAGCCGCGCTTCGCGCTATAGCACTTTATGTAGCGATCGCACGCGTTTATCGGAGCTCTCTAGCGAAAAATAACAATACGTTAAAGACATTCTGTAGTATATTTGGTACTAGCCAAGGGAAAAGTACTCAGATGATATCTTCATTCATTGGAATTCGATTATTTTCAACAGATGGTGGATTTACACTCTTGTCATGTCAGTATATTCAAAACATTTTTATTGGTAATTATCCGAGCCGTCAGTAAATAAAGTACGTCATGGAAATCGTGTTACGTATTTTCGAATTATGAAAGGCGAAAATCAAACCAAATTCAATAATATATTTAATTTGACATGAACACGATAATTGAAACCATTATTCAAGATAACAACCACTTGCCAAGTATATCTCAAATAGAATTTCCATAATGGCTTTCAGCAGTTTGAATGTATGTTATTGTTTCAGGAAGTACGGAGAGAGGAACATGAAGGACGAGAACGATGACTCGTCGAATCAGTCGGTCCTGAACGCCGGCCTGCTGATGATTCCGAGAAGGGCACCAGGAGTATCCCTGCTGAGGCCCGTCGTCGGCGTGAACCAGCACAAAAGAGCCGGCTCTACCGGCACAACCGGTGACGAGTCCTATACGACCGACGAAGAGGACGAAATCGACGAGCCCGATATCACTATCAGGGATCACGTGACCCGTAAACTGTTCCATGACCCGAGCGATTTCGGATCGTTCTCAGATATCGCCACCATAACGGACAAGGTCCGGCACTTGAGCGTGATGCACCGGAACAGTTCGGACAGTTCGGTGTACAGCGAAAGGGGAGGTCCGGAAGATTTTGACGGAGGCATTTCTTCATGTTGCGACACCAAAGACAACGACAGCGACAGCAAAAGCGGGGCCAGCAGCCGGGAGGGATGGGCGGCTGGGTCGAAGGAAGAAGCCTTTGTCAGGCTGCAGGACGAACTGCGGCTGGCCAATCGCGAGTTGAAAGTGCGCGACCAAGAGCTGACTAGGCTCAGCAGAATGCGACAGGATGTCGAATCTGAACTAGAAGATCTGACAGCTAGTCTGTTCCAGGCGAGTATAGGGATATTTCCTTATTCACCCGTGTGTGGAAAAAATAAAGTATTCAAGTTTTCACCAATTTATGCACAAATCATTTTCACTTTATCTAACATGAAAATCTTTATGAAAAAAAGGTATTTTTTAAACTTTACAAGCTTACGTAGTGTACTACAAAAAATGTCGAAGTTACTATGCGATTCATTTGTCTGTGCCAGTGAAAAAGGGAGATTTCAAAGCTGCTTCACATCGTGAATTGATATCTACTCATTTATAACTAACGCATAGTATCTTTGACATTTTTTCTAGTAAAAGAGGCACACTTTAATGTTAGAGTTTCGAAAATAGCTCTTTCGATTAACATTCTCGAGATGAATAAAGTGAAAAAGAAATGTACTTGAGTTGTTTCCATAGATGTCTCATGATGTCGCCAAACTGAATTTAGAGAAAATGGCTCCATTTCGAATAGGAATGGCCACTTGTGGTATATAGTGTTGAAAAGAAACATTTTATATCATATCAAAAATATATGGGTTCCATTGAAATTTTTGAGTTTGGTTCGTTTTCGGGTAAAGTGGTTTAGATTTTCAATTGCTTCATTGGTAGATCGGATTCGTTGAAAACTATAACTTCCTTCCAAATTTCAAATTTCTTATCCCACAAACAACTGAATGACACCGGATACAATGAATTCGTTGTCACCTTTTATGATTATTTATTATGTTTTTTTCATGTTTTCTCATCTTATGTTTTTTCACATAGTCTGTCTGACAATCTGATACCAAATCCGGTGGGAAAATCACATTCCGAACTTCAAATTATAAATTCCATTATAATAATTTGAGTAGGTATAGTAACTACAAATAAAAACGGAAATACCTCATTAGTGGTTCTCAGATTCTTCGATTACAATCCGGCGGTTTGGTGAATTAGGATTATATTTTTGTTTTGAATATTATATTTGATGAGGCTCCGTTTTATTCAAAAGCATTTAATAGAAGACAACATATTAGTTCATAACACCAAATGGACAAAAATCCTGTAGGGGCTTTCTTCAGATATGTGATGGAATCGGCCGATACTTAATGAAAATCCATAGCGAATTAAAAAAAAATATTAGATTTTCAATAAACAGTTCAATCAAAACGCAACACGTGTTTCGCTATACAATAGCTTCTTCAGGCGTATCGATAATATATTATAGAGACTAAAATTTTTTTATGATAAAATTATACTGTCGTTCGGGAAAAATGTATTTTTATTAGTACTCAGATAATATATTTCAAATACAAATCATAAACCAAATCTCATTTCGTTCATTTTAAATGATTGGTGTCCTCAGTAGTGAACCACCCTGTAATTACAGTTAAAGCACTACGATTTTCACTAAATATCACAAACTTGTTCAGAATGTAACCTCTAGCCTCTGGGACATTCCTTCTACAAGCATTGGGTCATTCAACTTGTTGATTGTTGAAAGACACTGCAATGGTGATTGTCGACAAAATTGTAACCTTACTTTTTCTGCTGCTTTCTCCACAGATCCACGAAAGAAATCACGCAGTCGACGAAATTCTGAACGAAAGTTATTCGAATCGTGAATATGAAAGTTAAGGCGTGGAAAACAAGCGGTGACAAAATATATTTATTCAGGAAACAGTTCTAATTGTTATTTAGTCAATGATAAAACTCAAATAAAATCTATTATCAGTGTTAAGGTTTAATGTTATTCAGGTTCTACATTACTTTTTGTTGAATATGATTGATCAAAGCCCTTATTGACCTCTAAAGGTTCGAATTTTCATAATTTTGTTAGGTTAATAATAATTAATTCGAGGATATCGTTACTTCTTATTGACGCAAATTCCCCTTTCTCGACTATTCATTCGAATTGCATATTTTTGTGAAAGTAATAGTGAAACGTTCAATTAGCATAGTGGACGTTGGCGTGCTTCACTGACTACCGATATGAGTATAATGAGCTCACAGAAAGTGGCTACAACGGAAAAATTGATTTTTTATAAATAGAACTTACGTTTATACTAATAATCCAAGTAGAATGTTGGAATTCATCACTCTAGAGTCATTGTTTTAGTTTTTGTTTTTGTGAAAAAATATATTATTCTTGAAACTAATTTCTCGAAGTAGGTACATAGTTACACACAATTATGAACAGATATTTTTCTGAGAGCACCCAAAGTCTCTTTTGAAGTAGAACAAAAAAAGACAGAAAACGAAAAGGTCGTTTAAAATTTCGATGAGTTAATCAATTAAAAACTTGAATTAATATTCATGGTTAGTTGTTACTCGGTATCGCATAAAAAAATAGGTCCAACGTCACATCATTCATCCAAAATATACCATTGAAATAGATTTCTACTTATGATAGTTTGCGGTCGACTGATATGGATAAACAAGTTTCCGTTTTGACACAAACTAGAACGTTTTAAAACGATATGTTAAGTACCATTGACGCGTACAGTGACTTGTTCATCATTTTGCAATGTCTCAGCAAAAGCAAAGAATACAGAAAGGACTCAGTTTTAGTTTGAGAGAGCTTCAACTAGAACTGGAAAAATATACTTCAGATAGTGATTTCGTAAGTTCAATCATTTCAAAGATTTGCGTATAATCAGATTACAGACAATAAGTTAATTATATATTGCTAAATGAATCGTTTATAATGTTCAACTGAGAAATGTAAATGACTAATATATTTTTGTATTATGGAATTGACAACTATGTCCATTTGCCTCATTATCTCAGTGTCTATTATCATCAGTATTATAAATAATTATTTTTCAAGAAACATAAGGAAAAATATTCGTGATAACTAAAATAAAACTTCATCAATATAACTTTTATTATTTTGCGATAGCCTTGATTTCTTCTTTTTGCTTTCCGATCTTTTCAGGTCGCGCCACTGGACATTTTATTCAATGATTTCGCAGGCACGTTATGCAAATTTCACATTGTTTGAAGTTTTGAATATCATATTCATGCTTGCTAATCAACATGCATTCTTTCTCAACTTTCCCACAGTAACGTAGATTTTTACGAAACATCGTTTTCTGGCTCTTAATTACGCCTAATCGCTTCAGAATAATAAGAGTTCTTAATATTCTAAATGAAACTGATATTTCAAATAAGCTTCGATGATTCGAATAGATGAAAATGATGATTATATGTATACTAATTGACCCAGCGAACTTCGTACCGCCTTAGAATTAATAAATATTGTATTGAGTTATCAGCTGAGTTATATTTACTGTTTTTATATTGTGTTTGTGAACACAAAGTGGGGTCATACGTACACGAAGTGGGGTCGTACTAACACGGCCAGGACATTTTCATGTTTGATAAATAGATTGATACAAGAAAACAGCATAAATCTAAATTACTATGGACACATACTACATACATGGTAATTTTTCACTTTCAACAGTCATTTAATGATTATTATATAAAGTCAACTGACTCATTAGTAGATTTGAACTCTCAAACAGTAACTCGAGAGCCAAAACAAGATATCTACTACAAAAAAGTAGACCTGGGAATACTGAACATGGCGTTCCTCCCGTGAGATTTCTTCTTCACCTGCAGTGGATTGATTCGCGATATCCACAGTCTAATTGCATTAGGGCTTCGTGTGCCATGGTGATATAAAAATTACTCTTGCGTGCAAAACCACAAATGCCATGACCTAATTGTCTTCGCTCGCACCATTCACCTGTCATAACATAACAGAAGTAACGTCGTGCATGCCCAAGTTCTGGGAAAAATACTACACTCTTGCCCCTCACGTGAGACGTGATGTAATTAGTTTTGTTTGTTCGGGATATTTGGACGGTTCACTCCTTCTGAAATAACCAACCCAGTACTAACGAAGAGCTAGTACTCCGAAACCAATCTATCGGTGGTCATCACGACCAAAAAAAGTTACTTGTGACGAATTTTCCAAATGGGAAACGTTGCACAAGTGCCTGATGGTTTCACTTAAGTTTTCTGTGCGGCATTAGCTGTTGTTTTTCCGTCGGGTATCTGTCACGCCTCTGGGTATCTGCACCTCTCCGGAATATGTTTATTAAAAATATAAAATGAGAAATATTTTTCAGGAGGCACACAATATGGTAAGAGAGGCGAACGAGAAGCAGGCAAGCGCGGAAAAGGCTCTCAAGGAAAGTCAAATGAAAGTAGATGTGCTCACAGCCGAAGTTGCAGCTTTGAAAACTCTAGTCTTAACATCGACGCCTAGCTCTCCAAATCCTCATTTACATCCTCAAATCGGAAATTCTAAGGATGACGCTGCTGGTGAGTAAGAAAAATCAAGTATTCTTTCCTTTATCGATAGCTGCTTAGGTAGTCTCAAGTTTGAGTAATTTTTGAATTCACCCCAAATAGGATGTTAATATTATAATGTTCTCTGGATTTAACTTCAACATTGAAAGAATTTCGTTTTTGGGAATGAAATTGTCGGCAAGTCACCTTAAACAATTATTACCTAACAAAATCATAGTAAATCATGAGTAATATCACAAGATCAACTGAATAAATTGCAGACAATAATTGTCCACTTTTATAGTATTCGTGGCCATGACACGAAAATCAATTTTCAGTTTTGTTATTTTTCAAAATTAGTTGTTACTAACTCGAAAATATTGTGTTGGCAGCTCGCGTCATGAGCACCGATCTCTAGATAGTACGTCTTTTACCGAATTGTTTTCATTTTAACCGGTTAAACAGGTCTAGTGCAAATAATTGCTGTAGAACTCTGTCAAAGCTGCCTTCAACTTCTTCATCGTTTTTATGCATTGGGAGAAATAATCATAATAAACATAGTTCAGTCTATGTAATCTAATAGATAATAGATGATGTTTCAGATACGTCAAAAACGGTTTTATGTTGTTTCAGGTGTGGCTTTATTCACGAAAAAACATCGTCGATCACCTTCGCACTTCAATCTCAAATATGGCAGGGAAAGCTCTCCACCTGACTCGCCGGTCAAAGAAGTGGTTCATTTTTCTTGCGAAGTCGAAAGCAAAGAAGGTTTAGAGGTAAGAAGAATATCAATATGGTGGAATTAATAATTATTCATTATACAAATCACTAAAGCATTTTACCATCTAGTGTAATATTCTGTATTATATAAGTATAATAATGATGTTTTAAATAAAAACGGCAAAAAGAGAATATTGCAGCTGAAAAATTTAGGCCAATAAAAACCTCGGTAAAAATGTATGATGGAAATGTGTTGAAAATTTTCAAAGTCTTCAAAACAAAAAACTGAAATTAATGGATGGAATTTCAACTAATAATCTCATAGAATTTTCAGACTTGATCTTTATAAACATTTTACTGAAATGAATAATAAAATGACAGACAAATTAAAGAATTTAAAGATACACGACGAATTAAGTACAAAACAAACTCACTAAACAATATATCTCACGCGAATACACCCAAAGAAATAAAAGAAATGATATTGCAGTTAAAAATTGAAAAATATTCCGGAATTGGTATGGTATGAGCATATGTGTATATTCGTATGCGTTAATCATAAAAACGACTTTCCGGTTTAGGAGCAATTTTTACTAATGTTTTGTGGTAAGCTTCACATGGCATTTAGTGTTCGATTTATCGCAATCGGTTAGTCAATGAAAACATAATGTCAGTTCAAAGAAATACGTCAAACATTTTTTGGAAAAATACCTATCTACTGTTCAGTTGATTTGGCTAAAAATTTGATCCATAATTTGTAAAAGAAAACAGATTTTCAGATTTTTAATGTCTTTCAGATTTTGTGGGAGTTTATTGCATTCCTTAAGACATTGTATCTAAGAATCACTCTCGTATCTCTGTTTCGCAACTTCTGTAAAAACATTAGTTCATTTCGTTTCAAACTGTAAAACAAAGTTATTAAACCTAAAAACAAAGTCGCGGTCAACAGCTAGTCAAAATAGAACTTGATAAAGCGCTTCATTTCACTAATCAAAAAACATATCCATATGTTTAAACAACTTCCATTTCTCAACTTTCGATAACTTTTTTCAGGTCGATCCAGTGTTCCATAAAGCATTTCTGTTGTGGCGTAAAAACCCAGTTTTGGAAAAAAGTGATCCATTTATTCAACAATTATACAGGGAAGACATCAACTTATGTCTGTGTTTCAGTAACATAGATTTGTCTGAAAAAGTCAGTCACGCTGTTGAATCTGGAACAATACTGGTAGAGGCTATCAGTGACAAAACAAAGGCTATGTTTCCTAAGTGAGTAATATTTTCTTTTGCTACCGACTATCTGTTAATTACTCACTAGCTGGTCGGGGTTATTTGTTATATATTACAAAAACTTCAGGCGTGTGAAGACACGACTGAAGTTTTTGTTTAGTGAAAATCTCTCAGAGTGTTTTTTTATTAAGTTTATTATATACCGGCTGTGAAAGCCTACACACTATAAATATTTTATGAATAAACTGACCCGTTCTATGATGAAAATTAATAAAAAACTCTATCGATTATAATTATGAATTTTCCACAATAAATTTTATTTATGACGTGTTTCGCTACACAGCAGTTTTATCAGTTAAACTGGAACATCGAACTAGTCTAAAATGTATTTTATATAACAGTAGTTAATTACAAAACTTAATGGGATAAATGATTGATTCTGATAAAACAGGTAGATTTTAAAAAACATTACGAAAATATTAATATTCAACATTTACCAGAATTAATCATTTAAGTAATCAAATTATGTGATAAACTACTGTTATATAAAACACATTGTAGAATAATTTGATGTGCCATTCTGACTAGTGAAGCTACAGTGTAGCGAAACATCTCTTAAGGAAAATTATTTGTTAGTTATTGTATAACATGATAAACTTTCAAACATTCCAGAGATTTATGATGTTTATGCTTGTCTTTCAGAAAATGTGCATTGCTGGACGTGTCAAGGTTATGTTTTTATAGAATGAATATTGGAGAACCAAATGATTGGTATAGCATATCTCAAATATGTCGAAATAGGGTAAGCACCATAAACACCAAATTACCGATAATAAATCTTCTAACTAATGCTCACAACCCATAAGCAATAATATTATTTTATTTTGCAGATAATTGCTGTCTGTGATTTTTTAAATTATCTGAAATACATCCAAAGAGGATTGGTAAAAAGTTCTGGTAAGTTCCCGTACCGTCACCTTGATTTTCATCTGACACTACGGTTGTAACAAATGAATAAAAACATTGATTCAACTTGACGCCAGACACACTCAAGTTCAGAGTTGCTTATTTTTAGATTTTGTTATATTTTTGGTTACCCACGCTGGAAAATGTTCCTCACTTACATTAACTTAATTATTACTGAAGTCTTTATTTTTGTTTCAGCTCACGATATTTACTGGGAGATTGTGAGACTGCGTAGAAATATGGCTCTCGCTAGACTGGGTCTAACATTCTCATGAAACATCATCAAAGCTAGAGCTGTACGTGCCAAAACTGCAAGCTTCTGTCATTTAAGTAGATCTGATGTAAAAAAAACCAAAGACTAATATTAAGTTTCTAAATTTTTATCAGTACTTTGTAAATATTTCAATAGTTGCATATAATGATAAATAGATTTATATTTTAAGCTGAACATTTTTTATTCATGTCATGATAAATGAAGTATCTGATGAAGAATAAGACATGTTTTATGTATTGGGTATTCTTTTCCTTACTATCTGAGGAGTCAATGGAGGCAAAAGTTCTTGTCGGTTGGAAGTAGATATTTTAAGAGAAATATATTCCACATGTACAAATCTTATTTTTTATTTTGTAAAAGACATTTTTTGTGGAGGAGACAATGTTTTTTACAGTTTTTTGAATGTATAAACTTCCACAATCTGTGTGTTGAATTGAGACGTTGTTCACAAGTGACTATTGGATTTTGAAAACAAAAAAAATTTTTTTTTTCTGAAACTAAAGACAGTCAAGTATAGAAATTTAATTGTTTCCATAGATTGGTAAATTTGTAGTAAATTAATTGGCGCTCCGGGGCGACTTCATTGATTCCAGTGGCGCAGGAAAACCCGGAACAACCTGCAGCACCACATCATCTGAAGATCTTGATCTAACAATGTCCTCTCTCAGAAAACAAAATGTAGGGATTCTCCAGAGGCTCCAATAAATTCAATGCATCGCCAGATTCATCTATTTCGAACCTTCCAAAGAGTTTCTTGCTTCCGTTAGAGGTTGAATCTTGTTTGAAAATCATCAGTGTATTAAATATAAATGTATAAAATTAAATATGTGCATGAGGGACCATTTTGTATTCGCTGTCTAGTGCTGACATCTCTTATTATAATATAGAATTTCTTTTCCTTCGGAGGGCGATGGCAGTAAGATGTCAGTATTTAATGTATTTATCAACAGAAATGGTTAGCCAGCAGTCGCTGACAACCAGTCGGCCGGATGATATCGAAGCCGACTTCGAGATGTACGCCAAAATTAAATGAAATTAAAAAGCCGCCTGGTTTGTCAGCGACTGATATCAAGTTCTATTGGTAATCACATTAAATATCGACATCGTACTGCCATCGCTCCCTGGTGGTCATGGTGGGTACTGAAAATTTCAGGTGACTCGAAAATGCCACTTTTGAGCTTCTATGGTTTTTGTATTCGTTGTTTTGACTCATTAAAGTGATTCTAATTCTGGACATACAAAGGTCAAACCATAGGTAACAAAATACGAAATGTTAACTCATCCTTTTATGTTCACATGGTTTCGAATCATGCGCAGTCTGCCACACCACAAGACCAAGCCAGGAGTCAGAAGAAACCCCTCCCTAGAGAATCTTTCTGATCTACATTCCACAGAAAAATTGCTGTACGAACAAAGATGCGATTAGTAAGGAAAAATTCCTACCGATGATGGCACTAGTCAAACAGCTAATCGGAATAACTAAATGTTAAACCATAGGTTACGTTTATTGTTTAGGGTTTTTTTGTTTTGATTCATTCAATTACGAATTCATAGGCGTTTTTTGGCGCTCATGTATTCAAAACGTATTCGTCTGTGATTCAAATACATTCATTTTGGCGTTGAAATTATGATTTGAAAGGTATTCATCATGATTCAAAAGTAACGAGAGGTTGGTTTTGAAACGGAATTTGTCATTACGTTACGTCAGTTGTTTGTTTCTACTTTATATTGATTGTTATTGTTATAGTTTATAAAGTGCTGAAAACTTTTCATCAAATACGTTGTAAGGATGTATAAAATATGTCAAACACGTTTTGAACTGAGCAGACACTCACTGACATATTACATAAAGCTAAGTGTCAATACTCTCACAAAAATCATGCAAAATATTGAAAGGAATTCATTTTCAATTTTACAAATCTTATAGTATATTACCCACGAGCGAAAAATTGTAGTAAGCACAAGGCGTTAGCTGGGTGCGTAACTCGCGAGTAGACGTAATTGGTCTTATCCCCGAGGTGCGTACTATAGTTTTTCTACGCCTGACCGTAGAAAGGAATGGTAAAATATATTTCCTTGAGATTATTGCTGACTCAGTCAGTCAGTACTTAATTGAATGATTTAAAAATTGGTGGCAATATTTCCTACAAACTATTTTATTTGCTAGTGCTCTGTAAAATGTTTTCAAATCCTTTTTCTTGTCTGTTATAGTTCATAGAATTATCAGAAGAGGGCTTTGCTTTAGAGGCGTTTGGCAAAAGAAATACGATTGGCTGTTGGCTAGTGAGGTTGAATAATTCAGTTTTAATCTTTATGCTGGGTCTTGATATTTCAAAAATTGTTGCAAAAAGTTCATAAAAAATGAATAGAAGGAAAAAAAGCGGGGTTGTGTTACCTTCGAAAACGAATATTTGCCATCTGGAGCTTCCTTAATGAATTGATTATTTGTTCAGTGGTAAGCGTCGACGATTTCTTCGGTTTGTAACCATCAGATTTGCGTTTTAGAGAGGAACGTAGTTTGGAATATTTGTTGATGTCCACATTTTTCTTGATATTCAGTGTACTTCTAAGCATAGAGTAAATTGCTTATGACGATGATTTCAAAGTTTTTCTTAAATCTTCGAAATAAACGAGAAGAACGTTTTCGGACAACAAAGTTGTTTTTCCTCTCTCTCAACTCATAAAATTTTCGAAATTATATTCGTATTTTTCTCTTGATTTTGCTGGCAGCAAATTATTCATCGCAATATTTGCTCGCTCGCTAATATCTGGTGGGGTAGCACAAATTTCTTGATCGTTATCACTCATTTTGATTTTTTACGAGATACTGAATGACAGCTTATAATCAAAACAAGTGGTTGTTGGTTCAGGGATATATCTAGATTTATTACCAACCCACAAACTGTTAAACAATAAATTCACTAAAAATATATATTTATTTCGATTTTACAGAGAATTTTAAGAGAAACTTCACTAATTTTGGCTTTTGGACAATTGAATGTATTCATGAGATCATAATTTATCAGAGAAAATGTTACATATCTCATATTTATTAAAATTTCTTACGGAATGATCCGCCATTACACGTGTATTCTAAATTAGGGTGTTCTGTGCCATTACCTACTTGCTACTTGACAAGCATTCTCATTTAACATATAAAATACAATTTAAACTCGAAGATACTGAAAACCAAATCTATCTTTTCAACATTTACATCACATTACAGTAAATATGGTTCACCCAGCAAAAGTTGTAATAAAAAATTAAAGTTGAAATTCCATGGTAGGAGGGCGACACTTTACAATTCTGATAGGCGACTGGCGACTCTCAGGATTGCATCAAATACTTTTCAGCAAGGTGCATTGAATATCCGTGATGTGATCACTTGTACCCCCTTCACCATGTAAAATATTTTTGTCGAAAATTCTCGACTTACGTCACTCTATAAGGAACTAAAGATATGGTATAAGTTTCAGCCTCCCATTCACAGAAGTGCTGAATATAGTTAAAAGTGACAATGTCAAAATTTTTAAAACAGCCAACAAATTCTGTTCTATAGGAGGATTCCGCATGATGGTAGGTACTATGAAAATTTGGGTGGGAAGTTTTGCTTCTTACTCATACTAATGATAGTTCCTTTTAATTTGCATTCAAACTCTATTCGTACTCGGGAAATTTTGGAGTGTCCACCAACATAATCCTCGTTTTTAAGTTATTATTTCTTGAAAGTTTATTTAATATTTATAGTAACAAAATCTCAACTTTGGCTACAGTTGTGTCATTTGCATGTTAACTCGATGTGGAGACCGATATTTTAAAGAAAATCGGCTTTCCTTGTGATACTAGTCTTCTAAGTTTCCAAACTTGCTCTAGAGAAGTTTGAAATATTTTGGAACACATTTAGGACCAATTTAGATACAGCTGACCACTATCCTACCAGGTTCTTAAAATTTGCCAGTGTTCATTTTGAAATGATGTTCGTTCCTTCATTAGTATAATAAAATAGTATGAATGGGGAAAAATAGAAGTCTACCTCAATACAGAAATAATAGAAACGTTTTTATTTACCAACAGAAACAAGAGCTTCACATCTTGGTAACAGCCTTCAAACCTATTATATCAAAACACTTTTCAAGAATCATTGCTGTGGCTTCTGCCAACAAAATTCTTCCATGATTAACTTTGACAATGTCTCCCGAAGAATCTTTTTCTATACAATAACAGCTATCATAAAATTCCGTGAATGTTGTAGCGATTTCATATGCGTATTCGCACAAATGATGCAGACACAAGTCATTTGTCATTTTTAAGAGTGTGTCTGGAAATCGTAACAGAACTTTTGCTAATTTCCATTCCTTGTCATGGTCCAATGAAATTGTATATGTCTTGCTGAGTTCCTTGATTTTTTCGGGAGTGAAGTTAGCATTGCGAGCAATTGATTTGATACGCGTGCAGGCATACAAAAGATAAACGGCAGTGTTGCCTTTGTCTTCCAACATTTTGTCAAATGAAAATACATATTCGTGATTTCGATTGTGAGACAGATCTGCATATTTGATACAGCCATAGGCCACCGCTTCTTGAGCTTCTTTGAGCTCTTCGGGGGTCAGAACCTAAAACAAAACCTTGGAAGTGAGTTTCTCTTTCACCGAGAAATATTAGTTGGTGTATGTTTTGAAGTTGTTTGAATAGAATAATTCACAAGGAAATAACAGTGAATGATAAATCAATATTTGCAGTAAAAAAACTAGAATTGTAACCACAAAAATATTTGCAGTATTGAGAAAGCCAGTCAGTTAATTATGGATTTGCACTCATTTTAAAAGATCAAACTTGGTGTACTTGTAATATAATTACTCATATAAATACACTGACCAGTTTTAAGGGGTCACTGTTATAAACCACCTGTTTTCCTAAAAGCACCTAATATTGAATTGTAATTGTTTTTACAAAATATACCTCTATTTCACCAGAATTAATCATTTATCTAATAAGTTTCATCATTGTCTACTTTTATATAAAAAACATTGTAGAATAGTTTGATATATCACTTCAACTAATGAAGCTACCTTGTAGGGAAACGTGTCTAAAATAAAATTTATTGTGGAAATTGTATAATTATTATCATGGATATTATTCAAGGTACACTTTATGGTGAGATTTTTACTGAACAGTTTACAAAACCACATAAAACGTACTATGAACATGGCTAAGAAAGCTATTATTGTATAACGAAATACGTTTTGCAGTATTGTAAAGTGTTCGGTGAAAATCTCACAATAAACTGTTACTTGAACAAAATTGTGTCATTTATTCACTATTGTGAAAGTTTCAAATCCAAAAGATTATTCATAAGAAACGAACCTTGTCTCTTTCTTTTTCTCTCAGTTTCTCCATGGCACGTTTCAGTCCTTCATCGAGTAAATCTGATAATCGAACAGTATCTCCAGATCTAGTCTTGAACTTCTTTTTATCTTCTCCTAAAACCACTCCAAATCCAACGTGATCGACACGAACATTATCCTTTAAAATCCCCGCTTTTCTGGCACAGCTGAACAATAGAGAAAAATGTGTAGCCTGTCCTGCATCTGTTACGTATATGATCCAATCTGCCTAAGGATTATTTTTTGTTTTGAATGAACGAGAATAAGTGCAACATGTTTGTCTTACCTTTTCCTCTTCCACTCTATGTTTAATAGCGGCTAAATCAGACGTATCGTAGGTGAAACCCCCATCAGATTTTACAACGGTAAGTGGAATCGTTAGATCACCCCACATGACTTTGCGGCCATCGTCATACTCCAGAAACCCTCCGGCATCGAGTTCTTTAACTATCTGCTCCATCCTACTTTGATAGAACGACTCACCCCTTTCTACCAAAGATACATCTAACCTATCATAGATTTTTTGAAATTCTAAAAAATAAAAATATATAACCCTTTCAATTTAAATATAAATAAATAGTAACAACTCATAGTACTATTGATTATAAGTCCTAGGCCCGTGAGATAGGATGATTTTTATGAACTAAAATTTTTTAATTGAATAGAACTATTTCTAAGTTCAACACTCATAATTTATATAGTAAACTAACCATTTCTAGATACTTCACAAATCAGTTCCCATGCCTTTTTATGAGTTGGCTCGAACAACTGCAGTTGAACAACACTGGCATAGGCTCTTTTTTTGAATTCTTCATCTTCGTCAAACCTTTTTTTAGATTCCTTATAGAAAGCCTGCAAATCTCCGATAGGAGGGGCTTTCACGTGGAAATCAGGGTATGTGTCTTGTAGATGAGCAATCAACATTCCAAACTGGGTACCCCAATCTCCGACGTGATTGATTCGTAGTACCTCATGCCCTAAAAACTCTGTTAATCGACAAATGCTGTCCCCAATTATTGTTGATCGTAGGTGCCCCACGTGCATTTCTTTGGCAATGTTAGGCGAAGAAAAGTCAACTAAAACTTTGAGTTTTTTTGGAATATGTGGTGGTTGAACTCCTTTTTCAAAAATGGTAGATAAATTTTTCAGTCCAAAACTTTTATCCAAATATATGTTTATGAAACCAGGTCCAGCTATTTCTAGTTTGTCAATGAGCTCATGAGGAGGTATATTTTCGAGAATTTTTTGTCCAATGTCTCGCGGTGCAACTTTTTTTCCCATTTGTTTATAAATATTAGCTAATTGCATTGCAGAATTACACTGGTAGTCGCCAAACTTTGGATTAGATCCAGATAAAGCTATAACAATTGGGGGATCGACAATGTCAGGAAAGGCATTGGTTATTGCTACAGAAAACAAATTGGTGAGAATTTCATTTATGCTCTGCATTCCGCCTTGACTAACTGAAAGCTCAGATCCGTTTTTAGTCAACTGATCCTCTATTGCCTGAAAATAAAGATTACACACATCCATAGATATTTATTTTCTGAACACCAGAATTATAACCGTCTCTTCAGGTAATCAATTATTACTTTTAATTTTATTAACTGTTGTTCTATTATATCTAAAATTGAGAAGTAATATTCAGACATTAGCAACCAGTTTAATCGATTTCTTGAAGATGATCACTTGGTGATTGAAACATGTGTTGAGGTGTTGAAAATAACTGTTTGGTGTTGGGATAATACTCCAGTAATATTCATTACTACACCAAAGGTTCCGAACAATGCATTACAATTAGCAACCAACCCACAAATCATGAGATAACTATTGCAGTTGGTAGCTAATTTAGAATGTAAATACCTACGTTGAAAGAATATCATGCAAAATATTGAGGACTACTCGAGTCAGGCATTGAATCACCTCAAAACAATCGGTAGTTTATGCAAAGTATAAATTTTTAAACTGAGCTATTATTAATTTCAACTCACTCTATTCAGTATTGCTAAACGATGTTTTAACTTGATATTTTCTGTAATCAATTTGTTCAACTCGATATCATCGGTGAGTTGTACTGTCCCAGATTTAAGTCTACTCTCAACTTCCGCTACATTTTTTCTCAGTTTGTCGATTTGCTCTTGCTGTAAAGGTAATGGTATTCTGTTAGAGATTTCCAATAAGGTTATATTTTTGAAAACACATTTTTTCAGCTTACCTACCGCATTGTCTGCTTCTCGGTTAAATTCAGAGAGTTCCTCCATAATACTAAATGAATAAAAATTAGTTAGAAGAGAAATGTAAATAAATAATCTACAGTGATATTAAGCATAAAATATAAGGAATGAGAATGACGAAATAAGTGAAATAACCTAAATTCATAACTCTAAAATTCATAGAAATGATAATATGGACTAGACGTGACGTAACTTTTATATATATTCAACCTGCAGATCACAAAAAGTCTTGGCCACTGCGTCACAGTATTTTGTGACAAATCAAATCCTAAACTTTTTAGATGGAAATATGCAACACGTAAAACATCGTGACATTGAATCTGACGTTAAGTGTAAGAATAACGTCAATGCCAGGACATAAATCTCTTCATCTTTTTTTATTGTTGGAGTCAGATCCTCTTTAATGTCCAGCCAAGATTTATTATTACGTCACTGCTAAAATCAAACAAAAGTGTTTTTACACAGAATTTTCAGAGGACATCACAGAAAAATTAATCTTTGACGACATTAAATGACGGATAGAATCACAGAACAGCAAAATTAACGAGAATTCCGCTCTTTTGAAGTACCATTTTTCAAGAAAGTTTTCAGTAGAAAACATTATTAGTCAGTTTAAAAATTCATAGATGTTTTTTAGAATTTCGCAAAAACTTTCCAGCGGTTAAAGTCGGTCTACGGTCTACCTTTTAATGTTTTGATTCTAGTCGCCAAAAAAGAAAATAACGCGATTCAAAAAGGCTTTTAGACAGTATTTCACGCTTTTTAGTCCTAGAATTGATCACGGTCTCCATAGATTAGAATACTTTGTTTCCTATTGAAAAACAATTATCCATCATTTTAGAACTTACAATTGACATTGCAAGAATGAGGTATGATCTATCTTGAGTTCTAGCTAAAACGTATTTATGTTTTCTCTGGTGTCAAAAGCATTGGTTTAGGTATTGTATTCTTATCGTTATACTTCGATTAGATTTTTCAACCTAGTTGAAAAAACGTTTAATATAAAATGCTTACTCTGGTTCGCAGTTCGAACGATTCTAGGACGGTTCAAAATAGTTGTCCGGTTGATAATGAAAATACCTACAATGATAAGTGTAATTAAAGATTCATTTTTCTAGTTTTAAGTTACTTGGTACAATTCAGACAAATTCCAAAAATCCTCAACTAAATTTTCTGAACCCTCATCTGGATTGAAAATCAAACATCTTTTAACATTAAGCTGGTAGGTGTTCTCTGGACCAATCCATAGGTTTCAGATTCATTTTTATAACAAAGAATTAGTCCGTATTTGAGGCATTATTGAGTTTCTACATTAGATTATTGAAACTTAATCACGATTCAAACTATTATGAATATGTTACAACCAACAGTTATAAATGGTCAGAAATGATATTATCAGCAGTCTAATAATAACACTGATGATCTTCAAACATCTGACAGAAGCACCAAACTCTTGCGAAGGTTCGAAATAGATGAACACTTCAATATAGCAGACCAACTATTATAATATTCATGCAGTCATTATTCACTGTAGTTCTGGCGTTGAATTTGGTCATTATTACGCCTTGGTCAAAGACGAAACGGACTGGTTTGAGTTTGACGATAGTCATGTCACTAAGTGTTCTGGCGATGCATTGAATTTATTGGAGCCTCTGGAGACACCCTACATTTTGTTTTGTGATAGAAAATATATTAGCAGATGAAGATCTTCAGATGATGTGTTGCTGCAGGTTTTTCCGGGTTTTCCTGCAGCAGAAAAAGCAAATGCGCCACTGGAATCAATAAAGTCGCCCCGGAGCGCCAATTAATTTTTGTTGTTGTTTTATAATTTCATTGTGTGTATTTTTTAGAAGTGTTAAGAAAAAAAAGGTTAAAAGTTTTTTGTTATTGTCCTTCATCCAGCGACATCTACAAACGAATTCCCATAAAGGAACTCAAACGTCATTTACAGATTTCTTTTAGCATCTTTTCCGAAAACCTTTTACAGCTTTTACCGTTGTTATAAAAAATTACCACATATTATCATCACCTTTGTAATACAAAGTTATCACGATATAATACATTTTCACACTATTCTAATCTAATAACATTGTTTCAAGCAACGCTAATAACGCTATAAAATAAATCATCTAAGGAATATTTTTTGTAACGAAAGTCCAAAATGAATCTAGAATATTTGTAGCCGCATAGTAAGTTTTAATACATAGGTAGGTAGATATTTCCAGATTTTTTATATTAATGAGTAATTAGGTTATTAATATTTATTACATGTATTTGTCCTCTCAGATATGGTGTTTGCTTTTTCCATAAAAACTAATCCGATTTAATTAAATTTTCTGTTGGTTTGTCTGAGTTAGGTATCTATAACAACTTTGTAAATTTCATTTTCGAAGGTAGGTACTAAAATGAACAGAGTTGTCAATGCAAAATCCTCAAAATCTCTAGATTTTATTTACAAAAAATCTAAACATCTCAACACACATTTTTGGAATCTCAGTTGTAAACACGGTTTTGCTTCATTTAAATCTATGTTAAAAAATTTCAAATTTTGATGATGACTGCGTTCAATGCTTTCAGTTGAAACATCTATTCATTATTCACTACAAGTTTTTCGGTACAAGTTCGGAATTTCATTGTCTAAAAATGTGTCAACAGATTCGAATTCTGTGGAAGAACAAATGGAAATATGAAAAAAATCATGAAAAGCTAAAATATTGAAAATACTGAAATCAATCGGACCGAAATATTCGGTTGAGTTACATAAAAATGAATAGTAAAAATAGTTCGGACGATAATTTTCAAAAAATAATTACCTACTTATTGTGATCTAAAAAAATAACTGATGATGCAATTGCTGCTTTTGAACAAACTCTAACTAGAAACTTGTTTTCTTGTTCGATCATAAATACACATATTTAAAAAATAAAAAACGCAAACAATAATTCATGAATGTATTGAAGTCTACCTGTAGTGAAATTGAAAGATAGCAATCTGCATATGAAACTAAAAATTATTTTTAAATTTTTACTCTCTCTGACTCAATATCAACTCATAATGCATTGTTATCCGTGAATAATTTTCAAATTAAAGGAATCCTCAGGTATTTTGAAACCTCACATAACTCTAACGATATGGAAAATCCTCACAATAGGTATTTCATCATATTTTGGCAACCCTGTGAATGAAGTAGTTGAACGCGTATGCGCAGTGAATGAGTACATGTTTTATGTTATGGCCGTTGAGTTCAGCGACTTATTGGCGCTGATTCCCGTAGATTCGTAGAGATGTCGCTCCTGAAGTTTTATTAATTGTCATTTGAACCTATATTTTATGTTGTCAAAAATATAACTAGAGATTTTTATGATTTGATTATCGAGTGAAATTCTCCGTGGAAAAATGTGAATACTCTCGAGGAATAGCAGCGGTCGCTCCAGGACAGTTCGAAAGATAGTTATAGCCCGTAGAGTGTTGGGAACGCGTTGAATAAAGTGTTTTATTACCGCCTTGACAATAACGGGGAACCGGCAGCCATGTTGTGAAGTTTTGTCGGGCATCATGGGTTATAAGTGTCGGTCGCAAAGAGCCGTTTCGTCGAGAAAAAATCAATCGGAAACGATGCAGGGCGGTGCATTTTGCCCACAAACGTAGTAACTTTGAAGCGGAATCATAGCGTAGCGTGAGGCGGCCGCGAAGGTGATGTCTCTGCGCATAATTACGGTCAGCAGTGCAACGTCGTGGTAGCGCAGGGAGTCGTCTACTGCCTGGCCTGGCTAACGACTGCGAGCTTCAGCATCCCCAATTGCGGGAGGTTAACTAATCGGGCGTCGGGAGGACCGTTACACTAACGTCTCGGGGTCGCCCCGATTCCGATATGACACGTGCGGGGCCGTAAACACTTAATTCGAGCTACGATGGCCAAGATTCTCGGCAAGGACCAGGCCACGTACTCTAAGGAACGCGAGGGTTTCCTTCGAGACCTGCAGCACTTCCACGAGATCAGAGGGTAAGTAAGAAGTGGTGCCCCGAAAAAAAAGCGAACCGTTATTAACGATTTTTTGCGTCATTGCAGGACGCCATTTAAGCGGCCCCCTACTCTCGGTGGTAAGGAGGTTGACTTGTATCTCCTTTATACTCTCGTCACTTCGCAAGGAGGATGGATTAGGGTGAGTATTCTTTTGTGATAAATCGACCACCGTCTGTTACTATTACTATTACCCACACAGAGTAGTCGTCGTGAACAGAGCCAGAGTCGATGTCCTTGACGAAATTGTTGGCTGTACACCGGTTTCAGCAACAGCAGCTTTGAAATATAATATTTACACAATTTAGTTTTTATGGTTGTGCTCTTGTTAATGTGTAACGTGATCTGAATGACGATGAAATAAACATTTTGTCGGCCTCTCGAGCGGTTCCCATTTATTTTCTTATTGTGACAAAAGAGTAATTTTATTGCGATCTCATGAGCGGGAGATTCTCACGCGTGAGCAGGTTCAGATACTTCGGTCGTCTCTCCAGCCAACTCTCACTTCACTTTCTAGTGAGCATAAACAGATAGCTCCGGTACTAGTCAGGGGAGTATCACCGGCGGTTGTACCCTGGTATTGCATTAAAAAGAAAACATTGTTGCCAGGTTGTGATTCTATATATTTTATCAGATGATGAAATATATAGAATCACAATTTGAAAACATTTCTGAGAATTTAGTAGCTACTATTATAGAATATTAGTTTGATATTATAATGAAAATAAATTAAATAGGAGACATCATCAAAGTAGATGATTGAAACATTCGATTATGAATTTCTTTTTCAATATTTTGAATATTTTTGCGTTTTTTCAAGTATACGAACACTTTGATGAATAAATATGTTTCACAAAGTGAGCAAAAAATCTCATCATTTTTTATAGCTACTTGTGCAAGAGAAAGTTGCAAATCCAAAACTGCCATTGAAAAACTGTTCATATCTGTTAAAGGTCTCCTCATCAAAAGAGATTACACTAGTGACCGCTTTTTTGTGAAACTTGATACAAGAAATAATTTTTTCTATTATTGTAGTAATTTTAATGCTACTCAAGAACTTATTTTATTTTTTAATGAAGCTACTCTGTTGTTGAACATAATATTTAAGAGTTTAAGTATTCAATTTCATCTTTTCTCCAGGATATCATCCTATCTCTTTGATAGGTACATATTTGAAACGAATGAAAATGGTTTTATAAAAAAACATACAACACCTAAACCGTCTCATATTTGAATGCTTAGTATTTGCATCATGATCGAACATTTCAAAAGTATGAAATGTTATTTAAATCAATATATAGACTATTCCCTGATTTCTTGCTAGTTTGTCTTCATTATTAATAAATATATTTTAATTTCAAAGTATCTATATATGAGAAACAAATATACATAGATAGATCTCAGTTAATTTCGAGGTCATATTATTTTTCCTTCTCACTACGGAAGAATAAAATAAGTAATAACTTCTTTTCTGTAAATGGTTAAAAGCTGTTAGGCATATTTCATTAAACATATCCATTCTTTAATACCAAACGATTACTTTTTTTTAAGTTTCGAGCGGTTGTTATACAACATATTTATATTCAAATTGAAATGGGTATAATTTTAGGATATATCAATTTTTGGGAAAGAAAGGTTTTGGTTTTCTACTTCTCCATCTTTATACAAAAGAAATGTGGGAATATTTCAAAGAAAGTCTGTAGATCATGCAAAGAAGTAACTTTCAAACATTTTCTGGAAGAAAAGGTCATCTCGAAACAGCTACATTCATATAAACAATGAATTACACCAACTACTTTTAATTGAACGTTGAATTTACACTTTTTTATTCAGTTTGTACTCCAAATATTCTTTATGATATCTGAATCAATTCCATAACGAATGTTTGGAGTAAACTGAATAGAATTCAATGTTCAAACAAAAGTAGATGATACGAAAGGATTTTTCTTACAAGCATTTCTATGTTATATGAAAATAGTTGTTTAGAGGGGGGTTTTTCTTCCAGTTTGTATTCGAATGTTACTTCATTGCATGAACTACACATCTTTGTATTGAGTAGAAAGCCAAAACCTTTTTTTTCCATGTTTGAATTTATTTTAAGAAAATGAAAAATTAAAATGAACTCTTTCACAACTAATAAAAAGGTCATTTCTCTCATGGATAACGATTTGAACGCGTTTCTTTCACTGTGTACAGTCATCTACCAATAACGGTTTTACTAGTTCTCAGGATGAACATACAGTGCGGACATAAATAGTCTTTCCTTTCTCTTAACTTCTGAAATGAGAAGATATCTAGGCTAAACAAAATTAACTTTAAAAGATATATATCATTTTTGGTATTTTTGATAAGAAAGAGGATAGTGTTGCATAAACATTCGTCGAGAGGATTCCACCATGGAATCCAATAAATGTTGAAGTTTTACCTCTCAATTATGATAATATTGAAGTCAGTTTATAAATTTATTTCTTGCACTAGAAAATGTTTCTGGGGAATAATTTCATTGCGAACACCTCTTTTCCTACCTAAAAGTACCTGAAAATTGTGTCATTTGTCGTTTGTTTTGTGAATTCCTGAAACTGATATTGAACTGCTGATTACTCAGTAACTGCTGATTCGATTTTCAGAAATAAACGGGCCTCAACCATACTGAAAATACCCATCAAACGAGTTATTACAAGCCCTTATTTCCATTTGAAAAAAAAGTGTAGCATTTTTTCGGCAACGAGTGAAGCAACGCCATTGTATTTCAGGTCAAATAGTAATAGTTGTTCGCGTGAATTTTGCCCTACCGTCTATTTATACCTTGATATCATCTCTAGTTCAAAGGTTAACAGAGAGGGGTCTCTTCCGTCCGCGGTGAGTAAAGTCCCATTTTCTGAAACCAGTCACTCAAACAGAGTCCGCCACTGCTCGTGAACGCCCACCGGTGCATTTAAATCGCCGCAACTTTGATAGAGGCCTAAACATCAAAAGACCTGACGCGTCCGAGATTAGCGCCTCCCTCCTTTTTGCGGCGCCAGCAATCACACGCTCATTACCTCTTCTAGATGACACCGAATCTTGTCGTCGTCGTCGTCGCCGATTTCCTCGTTCCGGCGGCACGCGCCGTTTCGCTTTTTCTTCCCATCGCCCATCATCACCTTCGTTGTGTTGTCGGTCGTCGCATTGGCTTCTACGCGGACGCAGGGGGAGGGGGGGGTCACGATTGGAACTCCGGAACGAACGGATAAAAACAGACCATGACCTACTCCATGGCGAGAGACAGGCGGAGCGCGGAGAATGTCTATCCCACCCTGTAATCGGGATTCCCTTCGGTAGTCTATGAGATAGGACCGTGAGTTGGTATAAGATTGTGTAGAGCCGGAAGTTACAGCTCTCAGATACGAAAAGGGTTTTTTCTCCTGAAAGTATAAAAGAAAAATCTTCCATCTATCTACCTTTGTCATGTGAATTCATTTCTCAGGACTCGAAACCGATTAGACGAAAGTAAAGTTTCACGAAAGTAAAATCGTCTCGTAAAAAAGTGTTTGCAAGATGTGTAATTTTTGTTCATAACATCTTGAATAAGCATACCTATTATTATGGAAATATTTCCAATTGAATCGTTTTAACAATATTAATTGTACGAGGTCTGTTCAAGAAATGAGGTGAATGTATAAATTTCGCGGTCTATGTACATTCGATTAGCGATTTTTTTACTTCTTTATGTTGGTACACTCGTCTCAAACATATATGTTCATATATTTCAGCTGTTTAGCATATTGTAACGAATTAAAGAATCAACTGTCTTAAACAAATTTATTGTAACAATACTTCACTATCACAACTAATTTATTTACACCACTCAGTAACTAACGCTTAATTTATCTTCACCGTTTGTTAACCGCTCGATTCGCTTTCTTGGTACAGACTGCTCTTCGGGACGAATAGCGACGTTTTTATATCGTCAACGAACTTTCCGGATCCCTCTGCGGATTTCGGGACCCATCCTGTCAGGGCCGGCTTCAGATTCGTTACATTGCCCCCTCCTTAAAGACGTTTCGCCCCGAAATGTCATCCTTGGCGTGTGTCGATACCTGCAGAACTCTCCATATTTGCACTGTGAAGTTCGATGGAAGTAACACTCCACAGTCTTTATGCTCGGTCGTGGAAGATGGTTACCACACACCAGATGCCGCTGGATCTGAAGATCGTTTCCAACATGCTTCTTACAATTCTCCAGTCCAGCCTGTCGAGCCCAGAGGCTAATTTCGGGATCGCCAACTCCACGAGATTCTGGTCGAGCATCGTCTCCTTCAGTCTAGTAAGACTCCTCCAGACATCTTCATAGGACGGTTTGTCTCGAGAATGCTTTTTGGTCACCAAGTAGAAGATGTTTCTCTGACCCTTCTTCAACTGTAGCACTCCTCCGACTTCTGGATTCTGTTCTCGTAATGTTTGAAGCTGACCGAATTTCTTGTTGAATACCACAGCGATGCCCTTGGACATTTGGAGATCCTCTGCCACGCAGTGCGCTAGGGCGTAATCAACTGGAACCTTGAAAAGGTCTCGTGGCTCTTCTCGAGTTACCCCATGTACGACCTTCTGTCCGTTCGAGTATAAGGACATGAATTGCTGGAACGTCATTTCATCCTCTGGTGGTCTGAGGGCGCGAACTTGGTCGTGATTTCCAGCATAAGGAGCCAGTCTATTAAAATGGACGACCCTAGGCTTTCCTCGAGGTGGCTTATGGATTCGGTAGACGAGGTCATTAATCTTTTTCATGATTTTGTACGGACCTTCCCACGAGTTCCGCAACTTCGGTGATAAACCACGGCGGCGCTTAGGATTGTACAGCCAAACTAGGTCGCCGATTTCGAATCCTCCAGCATTCGCCTTGATGTCATAGGCCTCCTTCATCCTATCGCTGGCACTCCGGATGTTCAGACGGACTCGTTCATGAATGTCGTCCATTCTCTGCCGAAGCTTGCTGACATAGTCTTCCCCCGCAGTGTCTTGTTCTGGAGGCATCCCAAATTTTAGGTCGCAAGGAAGCCGCAGCTCTCGTCCCATTATAATACTGGCAGGGGTTTGGCCGGTTAACTCGTGCACTGCCGAACGATAAGCCAGCAGGAACAGGTGGAGGTATTGGTCCCAGTC